AAGGTGAAGACAAGAAGACTTAAACCAGAAAAAATATTTGTAAAGGACATCTGATAAGGAACTTTGTGGTAGTTTGTTTGGGATGCTTTGACAAAAACACCATAAATTGGGAGGCTTCTAAACAAACATTTTTCGTAATTCTGGAGGCCAGGAAGTCTAAGATTGAGGTGCCAGCGTGGTCCAGTCGGGGCCTTCTGGAGTGGAAGGGGTAGGAAGCTTTTTGGGGCCTCTTCTAAGGACACTGATCCCAATCAGAAGAGCTCCATCCTCATGACTTAATCATCTCCAAAAAAGCCCCACCTCTTGATATCATCATTAGGAATTAAGTTTTCAACATAGGAATTGGGGGTGGTAGGGGAGGAGGATTCAGACCATAGCAAACTATCATCTGCAATATACCACCCCCCAAAAAAACCCTCCAAATTCAACAATAAGAAATCAAACAATCTAATTTTAAAATGGGCCAAAGACCTTTACAGACACTTCACCAACAAGTTACACAGATGGCAATAAGCAAATGAAAAAATGGTTCACACATATGTTATCATGGAACTGCAAACTAAAACAGGTATCACTGCATACCTATCAGAATGCAAGAATTCAAAACACTACACCAAACGCTGGTGAGGACGTGGAACAACGGGAGCTCATTCACCGTTGGTGGGAACACATAGACGGTACTGCCAGTTTGAAAGAGTTTGGCTTTACTTTTTTTCAGAACTAAACATCCTCTTACAATATGATCCAGGAATCGTGATCTTTAGTGTGTGTGTGTATAGAAATGAGTTGAAAACTTAACATCCACACAAAAACCTGCACACAGACAGTTACAGCAGCTGTATTCATGATTGCCACAACTTGGAAGCAACCAGGATGTCCCTTCAGCAGGTGAATGAATAAACCATGGAACATTCAGACCACGGGAGATTGAGCACTAAGAAATAAGCTATCAAGTCATGAAAAGACATTAAAGAGCTTTAAATACATGTTACTAAGTGGAAAAAGCCAATCTAAAAAGACTACATATTGTAGGTATGATTCCAAGTATAGAACATTCTGGAAAAGGCAAAATTATGGAGGCAGTAAAAAGATCAGGAGTTGGGAGGGGAAGGGATTGGATGTATATTGCATGGAGTAAAACTATTCTGCGTAATATAATGATGAATACATGTAATTATACATTTGTCAAAACCGTAATATATCTGTACAACCTCAAGAATGAACCCTAATATAAATTGTAGACTTTAGGTGATAATGACATTTAGAGAGAGAGAAAAAAACACATCGATTTGTTGTTCCATTTATTTATGCATTCATTGGTTGATTCTTGTATGTGGCCTGACCAGGAGTTGCATGTGCAACCTTGGCACGTTGGGATGATGTTCTAACCAGCTGTGCTACCTGGCTGGGGCTTTAGGGGTTATTTAAGACAACAGAAAAGATGTGCCCATATAAGGCCTTATATACAAATGTTTATAGTTGCTTTATTTTTAACAACCAAAAAACTGGAAATAATCCAAATGTTCATCAATAGATGAATGGTTAAACACATCGTAGTATAGCCATAAAATGTAATCTTACCAATAAACTGCTTTAGCAACAAAAATGTAAACTTACCAATAAAATGATGGATGAATCAAAACAATTATGCTGAATGAAAGAAGCCAATAAGAGTACATGTTGTATGACTCCATTTACACAATGATCTAGAAAATGCTAACTAATCTATAATGACAAAGTAGGGGATGGGGGGGTGAAGGAGGGTGGAAGATTAAAAAGGGGCATAAGGAAACTGGGGGATGAATGTGTTCACTATCTTGATGATGGTTTTAGGGATGTATACATAAGTTAAAATGTATCAAGTTGTACCTTAAAACATGTTCAATTTACTGTATATTAATTATACCTCAATAAAACTGTTGAATGAGAGAGCTATATTCCAGCATAGATCTATGCTTTGGGGACAACTGTTAGTGCTCTCTCAATTTGGAAAATGACCAAAGCTTTTTAGGAATTATGATCACCAAATTAGCGAGAATGGTATCTATATTTGAAAAGAAAAATTTATACTTACATTAGAAACTTGCCTTACAGTTTTTCCAGTTACTTTCCAACGTGGTCTCTGTGGTAATTTCGACTCTAGTAATCTGTTTATTTCTAATTGCTGCAGTAACTCACCAACTGTTACATGTCACTGTTTACTTCATCCCACCCACCCACCTTTATTCAGTTTCCCTGGCTCCATCCCCTTCCAGATTCCATTGGGCTTAACGATGAGTTCCACAGAAATGAAGGATGGAAAGGGGTGGGAAGGTGGTAGAGTGATTTTATTAGAATATAAGAGCAGTCAGCCTAAAAGCAGATCATTTGGACCTGGGCTAAATCCATCACTGACATTCTGAACCAAAAACTGCTCTGAGATCACCAGTAACACTGGATTCTGAGGCTGTCTTTAATTTCTGTGTTACAACCAAGTTCCCAACTATCAAACTGAGTCATCATAGGAAGAAATACACAGCACTCAAAACAATTGTATGTAATTTGCACCTACTACCTCAAATTGTGAAGGCCTGGGCTGCCTCTCATCCGCTGCAGTAGCCCCAGCAGTGATAAGTACCTTGCTATGCACACACTAGAAATATCTTACCATTTAAAGAGCAACTGAAAACACTTCAGGCCAAGATGGAGTCATAGGTGGAAATACTGTACCTCCTCCCAGAACCAAATTTAAGGACAACAAAGATTTAGAAACAAAAATACAACCAAAACAGACAGAAAATTGAACTGTACCAAAGTCTGACAACAACAAACCATTCATCTAGACAAGTAAGAGGGGCCAAGTTGGCAGCTGGCAGAAAGGGGTCCTGGCACGAAAAGGCAGTGGTTAGAGGACTGAACAGGCGCAGAATAATATAACCAGAAGGGCCCAATTTGCTTGTGGAAAGCAGCAGAGGGGACTGAAATCCAAGACAGATCGGAATGAACGCCATTGCTCCCTCTCTGACCCTGCCCCCAGTCACACCCAAGGAACTGGGTTGACCCACCCTGGTGAACACCTAAGGCTTCGTTCCTCATACGTAACAGGTGCGTACAGACCAAAACTGATGCACAGTTCAAAACACTGGTAATCAGGACATTCACAGAACTGGTTGATTTTAGTCACAAATTAGATGAAAATATGAAGGCTATACTAAGTGAAATGAAGCAAAATGCACAGGGAACCAACAGTGATGGAAACAAAAGTGGGACTAAAATCAATGGAGTGGACCAGAAGGAAGAAAGAAACAACCAGACAGAAAACAATGAAGAAACAAGAATTCCAAAAAAATGAGGAGAGGCTTAGGAACCTCCAGGACATTTTTAAATGTTCCAACATCTGGATTATAGGGGTACCAGAAGGGTAAGAGGAACAGCCACGAGTGGAAAACTTATTTGAACAGATAATAAAAGAGAACTTCCCCAATCTGGCAAAGGAAATAGACTTCCAGGAAATCCAGGAAGTTCAGAGAGTCCCAAAGAACTTAGACCCAAGAAGGAACACACCAAGGCACATCATCATTACATTAGCCAAGATTAAAATGAAGGAAAGAATTCTAGAAGCAGCAAGAGATAAGGGGACAGTCACCTACAAAGGAGTTCCCATCGTACTGTCAGCGTATTTCTCAAAAGAGACCTTATAGGCAAGAAGGGGCTGGAAAGAAGTATTCCAAGTCATGAAAACCAAAGACCTACATCCAAGATTGCTCTACCCAGCGAGGTTTTCATTTAGAATGGAAGGGCAGATAAAGTGCTTCTCAGATAAGACCAAGTTGAAGGAGTTCATCATCACCAAACCCTTATTATATGAAATGTTAAAGGGACTTATCTAAGAAAAAGAAGATAAAAATATGAACAATGAGAGGACAGCAAACTCACAGTTATTAACAAGCGCACCAAAAACAAATGCAAACTAAGCAGACAGCTAAATCAGGAGTGGAGCCACAGAAATGGAGATCACATTGAAGGTTAGCAACAGGGGAATGGAAGGAGGAGGGCAGGGGAGAAGGCAGAGAATAAGTAGCATAGAAGGTAGGTAGAAAATAGGGGGAGGGCAAGAATAGTATGGGAAATGTAGAAGCTAAAGAACTTGTGACACATGGACATGAACTAAAGTGGAGGGATGTGGCGGGATGGGTGTGCAGGGTGGAGGGGAATGAAGGGGGGAAATGGAACAACTGTAATGGCATAATGAATAAAATACATTTAAAAAAGAGCAACTGAATAATATAACCAAAAAATAAATTATTTAGTTCTTTAGGTTCTTACCTAGCTTATGCCTTCTCTTTGGCTTAGTATAAAAGTCAAAACCCTGGTATTAGGAATAAAGTCTTGCCTTTCTGTGCTAGTAAGTATGGGTCTCTCATTGGGTTTGCTCTGGGACCTTCAGCTGTCAGACTCTGCCCAGCAAATTAGGTAGCTCCCCCCCCCCCCCAAGGCTAAATATTATTGCTTCAAAATCCCTCTTTCCTCCGTCGTACTGAGCTAAGGTGGCTGGGTACTTGGAAGTGTTGGATCTTCTCAGGTGACGACCACGCAGACCAGGTTGGGCAGCACAGTGTTCAGGAGCTCAGTGGGGAGTGCTATGCTCCAGAGTCTAGAAGCTGACCAAAGCTTTGAATCAACTTAGATTCGTAGGTGAGGGAACAGAGGACCAAGAAGGATCCAATTACCCGGATAACCAGATTGCAGACCTAATGATTGGGAGTCGTAGGTATAGGGACAGAGGTATGTTTGGGTATATGGGGTTCAGTATTTGGAGCATGACGGGCCCAGGTTCAAACGGAGCTCCGTTAGACAGCGCGACCTCCCACCCACGTCCTCCGCGGTCCTCGGTTTCCTCCTTGGCCCTGCGCGCTGGAAGCCCCGAAGGCCGGGAGGGCGCCCCCTGCCTGGCAGCCGGCCGGCTCCCCGCGCCCGCCGGCCCGCGCCCAACGCTCGGCTCAGGGGTCGCCCGCGGCCGGATGCCCCGCGTCCGCTCCCTCCTCCGCCTCCTGGCGGCCCTGGCGGCCTGTGGCGCCGTCGCCTTCCTGGGATACTGTGTTTACTTCGACTGGAAGCGGCGTGGTGACCCCGCGTTCAAGCGCCGCCTACGGGACAGTGAGTGCGACGCCTGCGGAGGAGGAGCGGGGCGGGCGGGCCCGCGGGTGCCGCAGCCACCGAGTGGCCTCGGGCGCACGTCGGCGTCCGAATGGCCAGCACGCGCCACCTTGTGTTTGCAGAAAGAAGAGCCCAGCAGCAAAAGACCGAGGGTCAGGGCGCCCAGGTGAGGTGCTTCCGGGGCGGTGAGGTGCTTAGGCCCGCGGAGGTGGAGTCGTAGTGAGTAACCGGCCCCCACCCTCGTCCCTGCGGGTCGGTCCGGCTGTGGCTCAGGGTGCCCCTGGCTGGTTCCTGAGCAGACGCTTCCGAGCCCACGTTGAGTTCAGGGTTTAGTTTTTTTGTAGCTTACAAAGGGGAGAAACGAAGAATCACTGGGGGGCTATGAAAAGACAGCTATACAACCAAGGCTGTCCAACCTTTTGGCGTCTCTGGGCCGCACTGGAAGAATTGTCTTAGGCCACACATTAAATACACTGCCACACGTAATCACACACAAAAAATCTCATAATGGGTCCCAAGGAGCAAGTGTGTGTGTGTGTGTGTGTGTGTACACCCACCTTGAAGCCTGCCCAGTTTTAAGGGAAAAGGAAATAGACTCCACCTCTTGATAGGGGAGGCAAGCTTCTAGAGTGCAGGTGGGACTGGGAATACTACCGTGGCTGTCTTTGGAACACGCAGTTCCCCACAGAAAACTTTGGAGGAGACTTCCGGGCATTGAACTGGGCCTGGAAGGATGTGTTAAATGTGGGTCTTGATTTCAGGGGAGTCAATATTCAGGACAGAGGGAACTGCGCCCTTACTTAAAGGTGCAGAGTGGAGGATCTGCAGGGACTATTCAGTAAATCAGTTTGACGAAGGAGTCACGGTGGGGAATAGTGGGAGGTAAGGTTGGAAAGCTAAGTAGAGGTTGCATTAAGGAAATTAAGGAATTCCCATTCAGTGAGGGAAGTACTGAAAAGTTTTGAGCAGGCATTTTTTTAAAAGAAGGAAATAAAAAACATTTTAGGGTAGATTAATCAGGCAGAAGTGTGCTTGAAGGATTGGAAGAAGGGAAAAGCAATTGCAGCGGTACAGGTGAGAGAGAATACAAATCGCAAGCTGTGGTGGTGTGAATGGTAACTGATGATGAGGATGTGAGATAAATTGCCCAGGAAGAATAGACAGTTCATGCTGACAGAGTAGGAACTATCCTCCGTCATGGAGAGGCAGCAGTCAGATTTCAGGACAGAGTCACTTAGAGAATAAAGGTGTAACTGACATAGTTAAAGAAGCAGGGCAGGGAGTTGCCAAAGAGCTGGACTTCCAGTACAGATGCTTTCCCTGACGTCTCTGACGGGGGCAGAGCCTGGTTCAGCTCTGAACCCCTCTCCATCATTGCTCTTATCCGTGGTGGGGCGGGGGCAGTTGCAAACGATTTGTTTGTAATATTATTTGATTGACCTTTTATGTTTTGTTTTTTTTTTTTACTCTCCATTACTTGTTCAGTGCCTAGAACAGTGTCTAGTATGTGGTAGGTGCCCAATAAATATTTGTCGAATTACCATTGTTTATTTTAGGTAGCTTGTGCAGAAGCACAGACCATGAAACTCCCATATTTAAGGGACATGGTGGCCAGAGCGATAGCCAAGTGGTAGTTTGGTGTTATATTGTAGAGGGCTTTGAATGCCAAACTGGAAAGTTTGGATGTTTTTTTTTGTTGTGGTGGATAACTAGTGATGGTGACTTTATTTCAGAGAATGGATGCTTTTTTTTTTTAGGGTGGGGTAGAGGAGGGAAGTTGAAGTTCAGAAAAATCCATGGGTGGCAGTCCAGGTGACAAGTCACGAAGATCTGAATGATTTCAAATGAAGAAGAGACAGACGTGGGATTTTTCAAATGTCCTTTTCTATAATCATCATGACAACTATATTCTTGTAATTTTTTAAAATCCTCATCTGAGGACATTTTATTCATTGCTCTTAGAGAGAGACAAAGGGGGTGGGGAGGGAGAAAAGGAGAAAGAGAAGGAGAAATCGATGTAAGAGAGAAGCGCCAACTGGTTGCCTCCTGGACCTGCCCCAACCAGGGACCAAACATGCAGCCTGGGTATGGGATGTGCCCTGACTGAGAACTGAACCTGCAACTCTTCGGCTACTTGATGACACTCCTTCCAACTGAGCCACACTAGTCAGGGCCATTCTTCTAATTTTATAGATGAATAAACTAAGGGACAGAGAAATTTCTCTTTCCACCTCTTTTAGGGTCTCCCTTCCCGCTCACTCTCAGTCCCTTATAGTTCTCCTGAGTATGGCCCATGGACCATCTGCATTAGATTTTCCTGGGGCATTTGTTAAAATGTAAATTATTTGACTCAAGAACCAGACAGTTCTGACTTAGGAGCTCGGGGTAGTACAAGGGCTATTTAGACTTTGATTCTTAGACTTTAGAATTTATCAGAATCACTTAGAAACTTGTTAACATGCAGATTCCTTGGCCCTGCTCCTAGAGATTGATTCAGTAGGTCTGGGTGAAGCCCAAGAAACTGCAGTTTTCACAGCTCTGTCAGCTGATTCTTCATGAAACACTGTCCTCAGGTTCTGCCTGGTTCCCTTGTCTCCCTGAAGCTCCTTCCCTTCCCCACAGGTGACCTCAGATGTACTACTGTAGACCCAGGGTCCCGAAGTTCATCTACTTGCCAGACTACTGCCTAGATGCTCTATTGGCATCTCATCTTAGTGTGTCCGGAAGTAAATTCATCATTTCAGTCTGCTAGCCTCTCTACGGTGACCCTGTCTCCTTTTGCTTAAATATCAACTTCATCCTCCACAAGCAGTCCTCAATTCTTATTTTTCTACGTTCTAAACTCACATCCTGTTCCCCTTCCGTTTCCATTGCCTCCACACTACTCCGGGCTTTTAGTACCATTTACCCAGGCTATCGTAGTGATTTACTAACGTGCCTACCTGCCTCTCTGACTGATACAGTCTTCTGAATGGCAGCTCTGAATATGTAGCTTTCTGCAGTAGCTCCTGCTCTGCCCCTGTAGGACCAGTCCCCCATAGCTTGGCACCACAGCCTTCCGTAGGTGCCTTCTGTATTGAGGGTACATTTTCCTAAGGGTTGCAAATAACAAATGGTGATTATCATTGTTGCAGTATTGACCCTCTTATAATCCAGACAGAGATCACTTGATTTCCTTTCCCTGCAGTTTTCCATTGTCTGTAGTCTTTCTTCATCAGACTTTCACTGAGCTTCTTCACGTCCCAAATGCTGTCTTTTCTGAGAAGCTTTCCCTGATTCTCCAACCAGATGTAGTGTCTCTGTACATTGAACCTCAGAGGATGTGGGACTTTATTGTTAATATGTTATTAATCTTTTTTTAAAGAGTGGAATTAATTTCCTTTTTATTGAAATTATTGGGGTGACACTGCTGCTGTGCTACTGATCTTCAACATGTTCGTCCTTCCCTTGGTCAGACTCTGGGATGGGCACAGGGGACTTAGTCTCCTTCCCTTTGCATCTCTCTCTAGAGTGACTCATTCTTTAGTGCTCATTAAATATCTGTGGAATGGAACCTTTGATTGTTACTGATCATTAGCACATTTGCTGATAAAAAGCTTAAAATATGACCCCCTTCCCCAGGCTCATCCCATTTTAGAAGGAAAATTCTTGGGAAACAAACACAAAAACCCTCCGGATGTAAAAGACTGAAGCTGAAATGACTGGCAGTCGAGTTGATATTTTTGGCTAGGGGTTGCTCACTCTACCTTGAAAGGCCAGCCCTGGGCACCGGACCAATGGTGTGGCATCCTGTGACCCTAGTCACCTTCATGAACCAGGCTGCAGCAAACCAAAACAACCTTCTCAACACCAACTGCATTGCCAGCTCTCCACCATGCTCTTTGCCAAATCAACACCCAATGCTAATACCCCAGGCAAGAAAGTAGTTTTGCAATGTACAAAGAAAGCAACCTTTGTTATAGTTAATTATGGTAGGATTTCTGATATGTGTACTTAGTAAGCTGAGCAAAATATGAATGAGTTATTGTGAGCATCTCAACCTAACCTGAATATGACATGTATTTTTTTTATCACCTACAAATGTACTCCATTTTAAGAAATCAGTTTAAATGTTATGCAGAACAAATGCCTTTGTCATACTTTGGATTTAGCAACTAGGTTTGATGTGGGTTTTAAAGTAAAAACTAAATAATTGTGATTAGTAACTATATTCCTGACACTCATTACTCACTGTTAAATATTTTGTGAATCTTAGTTGTGGGATCCAGCAACAAATGAAAAATTGCAAGAACTTTTTCTGCAAGAGGTACTAATGGGAGAACTTTGGTTATCTAGAGGTAAGAATGTAAACATTCTTTTGTAAGCAGTTATTTATGGTAGATTATGTTCATTTATTGATTGGTATCTATGTCAAATACTTAACTAGCTAGATGTGTGTATGTGTGGGTTTTTTTTTAAAAGATTTCATTTATTTATTTTTAGAGAGAAGAAGGGAGGGAGAAAAAGGGAGAGAAACATCAGCTGGTTGCCTCTCACATGCCCTGAACTGGGGACCTGGCCTGCAACCAGGGCATGTGTCCTGACTGGGAATCAAACCTGTGACCTTTTGGTTTGCAGGCTGGTGCTCAATCCACTGAGCCACACCAGCCAGGGTGCCAGCTGTGTTAATCAATGTACTTCAGTTTAGAGAGAAACTGTGCCAGCATCTTCACTGCACCACACTCTCCAGCTTCCATGTGTTACATGTCAGTTATTGCTCCAGTTTACACTGCAGTCTTGAAGTGCCGATGGAGAAGCAAAGCCAAATGCAAAAACACCTCATCTATTGTCAGGTACAATTCTGAGTAAACGAACTTTCCAAATGACTAACTGCTTCATCAAAATTTTCCTGTCTTCTTAGAATATTCTTAATAATATACACTTTTTATGATAAAACCATTATAAATGGGTGTTCTTTTCCTGTCTGTAATTTATCCCCAGCCAATTCCAGATAGATTTGAGAGAAAACATACTGTCGTCAGGTAAAATGATGGTAGATAATATCGGTGTTGTATAGTGTTGTATAGCTATTACATATAATGACCATGTTTTTATTCTGGTATTAAACACTGGAAAGGAAAATTGGGGGGGGCTTCTAATCTGAGGGGTAAATGATGTTGCTGGATAAAGAGCATTACACCCATTTATGTATCTTTTTTTCGGGTATTACAAATCCCTTGCATTTGTACCTGTTTTGCTTCAAAACTTTTTTGTCTTTTTTTTTTTAATAAAGATTTTGTTTTTCAACCTGCACTGAAGAGAGTAGCATTCTCCAGGATTTAATAAAAAGGAAGTCAAGATCCTGGACAATTGATAGCAGTACCCAAGATTGTTACTTTAATCCATGGTGATAAAGACCCTGCCCACTGTGTCTCCATTGGTCGGGCATTGTCCCACCTAGCAAAAGTCAGTGGTTCGATTCCCAGTCAGGGAATGTGCCTAGGTTGTGGCATGTCTAGTTGGGCATGTGCGAGAGGCAACTGATCCATGTTTCTCTCCCTCTTTCCTTCCCTTCCCCTTTCTCTAAAAATAAAATTTTAAAAATGGATTAACAAAAAACATGATAAAAGCTTTGACAAATTAAAAAACATATTGCAGCCATTCAAAATTGTTGCACATGAATCATAGTTTGAAATTTTAGTATTTTATTCAGTTTAGGTACTTTTAGGTAGTTTTATAAATGGACTAAAATATCTATTAAATATTAATGACAACAAAATGAATACATAGAACTGACTTAAATGATATAAACAGGAGTGATTTTAGACAAAGGTAATGAAGTATAAGCGTTAAGGACCTTCATTTGCATGGGCCTCTTTAAAGGTGCTGGGAGGGATCCTACCAATTTTGTACTCATAATTTTATATTTTCTTAAACAGGAGCCCCCAAATTATATAAACTGGGGTCTCATAAAATCTTGAGTAATCCATGGATATGGATAACTTCCTGGATACAGGAGCAATTAAAATAGAACCTTTCAGCTTTAACATTTATTGAATTGGTATAGTATAAATATGGAGAGGAAAATTCTGAATATTAAGTCAAAAGAAAAAAATATTTTTTTCACATTTTATTCACTGCTTAAGAGCTATCATGTAATAGTTTAGACTTTGAGATGAGTACATTACAGATATCGAGATGATTAAAACAGTACTTGCAACTTGTGTTGTAAAATCTTTCCCTTTCAAAGGTGGTAACATTTTACCTGTGAACCCCTGAATTGATTAATTAGCTCTTTAAGGGTTATGTTACTTCTGTATTTTACTTCTGATGCAGTTCTCAGTCTTGGTTGCTCGTTCTTTAAATCCCCACCAAACCCTAAACCAGTCAGGTCAGAATTTCTGGGCGTGGACCGCAAGCATCCTTGGTTAAACCTCCCTAGGTTATGACAGTACAAATCGAACACCAAGAACCAGTGTTCTAGTGCATTAACTTTTCACCCAGTTTTCGGAAATCCTTTTCAGTTTTCTCCACCTGCCCGTTACCACCCCCAGCTTTCATTACTTTGTCAGCAGGTTGTCCAGCTCTCCTGTAGTCACCGCAGTTGTGATGTCTGCATGGGACTGTGGGGCCAGTGATTCGACTGAGTGTATTGGCCAACTTAATTGATCAAACTGTTTTTGTGTCACATTAGTTCCATCACCTTGAGAGCAGTCACTATATCTTTTTCTTTAAAATGCTCAATACATTCAAAGTGTTTTGACTTAATGCATCATTTTTCACAAAGCTGTAATTTTATTAATTTAAAAATAAACACTGCAGTAAAATCCTTCATATAATAGGTTCTTTAGTCCTGGCCTGGGAGTTCAGGTGGTTAGTATCGTCCCCATACACTAAGGTTGCAAGTTCAATCCCTGGTCGGGACATATACAATGAATGCATAAGTAAGTGCAGCAACAAATAGATGTTCCTCTCACTCTCTCTCAACTTTTGAAAATGTTGAAAATAAAAACAGCTTCTTTAAATGTGTAAGAAAAGTTACCAAAAGCCCAGCAATGAATATTTCTTATTTTGAAAATGTAAAATTAGCCCTGGTTGGCGTGGCTTAGCCAAAAGTTGCTGGTTCAGTTCCTGGGTGGGATTGGTCCCATGCACATGCCTGGGTTGTGGGCCTGGTCCCCAGCTGGGGCGTGTGTGAGAGGCAACTGATCGATGTTTCTCTCCCTACCTTTTAGGTGTCTATAGACATAAAACCTTAAGTTATAAAACCTACATATCAACAAGGCTTTTTGTCTATGTATCTAGTTTAGGTCATGTCTTCCTCACAGTTTTTAAGCTTAATACAAATCTTTGGGGAACTTTTTTCTGTCTATCACACACTTTTCATACAACCACGTATTTCAACCAACAAATGGAAAATTCATTTCAATTAATAAGATGTAGTATTATGTTTAACTACAGAGAAATATCTTCTATCTCCTAACTAGTGATATTAAATGTATGTCACAATTTCAGTCTCTGTCACTGCCTCACACCGGAAGAGTCGCGGCACATGGCAGTCCCCAGGTTCATGGCTGACCTGCGGGCTTGAGTACACAGAAACAATCAAGTGTGTGTGAATGGTGCAGTTTTAATTAGCTTGGAAAACTTACATCATTTAACTGACCTTTGCCTCAGTTTCCCAAAACGAGAAGTGAGACTAAGTGATCTCATGTTCTAACTTACACAGAAATTCTTTAATTTCTACTCTTCACTAATTTTCATACTTAGTTTATAGCCAATCATCCTGAAACTCATTTTAAAAGTTTACTTAAAAATGAAAGTTCATACATCTCTAAATTTCTTCTTCCAGATATATAATTCATGTTACATTAAATCTTGTTTCAACTGATAATACACTCAATTTTTCAGAGGTGTCATTTTAGCCAGAAAAACAGATGTCTTATCTACAAGTTCAGCAGTCACACACATAAAGAAAACCTGCCTCATGTCAATTAATAGTAGAACACAACCTTTGAAAGAACCAACACCCACCTTCTAAATACCCAAATTGCAGAATATTTCCAAGGCAAGAATGTACTTGTAAACAGTGACAGTGCTTACTGTGCTTCGGGTCATGAAGTTACTCATATTTCACCTTAACCACAGTGGATCTAACTGGCAGCTCAGTACTTCCGTCCACACTTATACCCTTTATGAGATTTGTTTACTGAGGCTTTATCTTGATATGCTTTTCAAGTTTTAATGCTTGGTGACTTCTTGGTAAAAATAATATATATCTTAAAGAACATTAAAATTTTGCTCTGAACTTACTCTGTTTCAGGAGAGCATAGAATGGGGGTCGAACATCTCAGCAGTGCCCTTTTATTGTGCAGGCAACCAAGGGAACTTCTGAAGGTTTTTAAGCACACACTGCCTCCCAAGGTATTTGAGATGCTGTTACACAAAATTCCCCTTATTTGCCAGGTGAGCATGTATTTAATTATCTTTGTGAAATGAACAGAATAACCATATTGGGCTTCAGTACACAGAAACAGTAAAGTATGTGTGTTAATGGCCCGAAGTTTTAAATGAGCCAAATCTCTCTCTTTTTTTTTTTTGTGCCTTTTATTGCCTTAAGGTGAAACAAGCCAATACTTTCCTGTTTCTTTGACTGTACTGTATTGGACATTTTGTAGAGTATTATACAGGTTTCAGCATTTCAGTTTTAAAGATAGCATTGTTAATATTTTATCTCTGTGCTTTAAAAAGATACCACAGTTATTGACTGACTGTAATGTCAACAGAGGCCTTTTAAGTTAAATGTTATTGTTACTTAAATGACCTGATGGCTTAAAAATTAGAAGTAACATAGAAAATAGTAAATTATCAAAGCAGAACACTTCTACTTTGCATTACTGTGACAAAACATAGATGTCACTTTGGTAAATTTAAACATATAGGCTAATTAGTGTTTTAAGTATAACTTGAGTTTGATATATGAAATCCACCCCTAAACAGTTATTAACAGGTATTATTAATCTACTTACATTTACTAACCTGCTTGTTATGCTTAGGCATCAATTAGGATTTCCTAAAAATGCTTGTGTTTTAGGACTCGCTTAGCCACAAGACACTACTTTAACTTTGGATCACTTTTTATTACACTGATCACGTCATGGCTGAGAGTATGCTGTTGTTGGTCTCGCTCAGTCATTCAGGTTCTCGTATTTTCAGCAAAACAGAGACTCCACTACAGCGTAACAGCCAACTCTCAAACACCCCCAAGCTAGTCTTGGGTGGGCTGTTTCCTGAGGGTATCTATGGAAATGCAGCTAGGATGTGTAATGCCCACCCTGACACGAGAAGTGAGGCAGGAAAAGGATCGTGCATTGAAATGACTAGCAAGTAACCATTTTATGTGTTCACCAGCAACTTGAGGCAGACATGAATGAACAGGAATACTTGGAGGATGATCCTGATTGAAAAACATTTCAACGTATCCACAGTCCAGTCAGAGTAATATGGTTCCATACAGTAAAAACAACTGCCCAGTGACACTTGCATTTATTTTACTTTTAGTAATAAAAAACTTTTCTATCTCATTCATGATTGAACACATATTTTGCTTTAAAATTAATAGTCACAATTTAAGAAACATTGGTTTATTTTTCTAATCAAGTGACTAAGCTCCCGAAAAATAAGGCCTCAACAAAGGTTGCATCTTTCTATTTTCTTTGAACCTTCTAATTTGATTATCCCTGGCAAATAGCAATTTTATTTTCTCCAGTGGTTTCCATTTGCCAAACAGTCATGACAGATGGTTAACATGGTGGCTGCTGCTTTCAGGGGATTCTATCAGATGAATCCTCGTTTCCAGAGCAGCAGCTATTGGCAGGCTTCGATGGAGAGTCTATCCAGCAGGACTCTACCGTGGCTGACTAAGGAGTCCTGCTTTGGCTGCCAGGGCTTCGTTCTGCTGAATATGATATTCCTGAAATCTCATGGATATTCTTTGAGTCATTTTTAAATATTTCTGTAAGCAATGTTCTGAACAGGTGGTCTAGAATTAAACAGAGAAGATGGAAGAGGCAACACAAATTATTAATTTAAAAAAAATACATGTATTCTAAAAGAGCAACCAGTGGGTACTGTTCTTTCAATATGCCTGAGAATTAAATGGTATTAATAAGTAGCAGGTGACCATAGTTTTCAACTGTTAATACAAGAATTAATACATAGAATACCTACGAGGTTGTAGGCCTTCCACACAATGCTAAGTCCCTGCAGTATGGACTAGATTTTCTGCAGGTGTGTTTTAATATCAACTGAAAGCCCACATTCCCATCCCCTTATTCTGATTGTTAAACTAGGCCCAGTAGCAAGTTGGTTCCTTTTAAATGAGAAATTCCATCCTTAACTTAATTCTCAAACTTTCACTTTTTACCAATAAGAATATTACACCCAGCATCTATCAGACTTTGTCACTTGTTTAACAAGTATTTATTTACTGCTAGTTGCACATCAAGTTCTCAGCATGAATGTTTATTAGTACCTTCCAGTGGAAGAAGTTATATCACTTTAAGCCAATATATAAATATTTTGAAGAGGACATTAAAAGTTATGACTTCTACTAAGCTTGGGTTTTCAGAGTCTACCTATGCAATATAGGCCACCAAATTCAAGCTTTGCCTTTTCCAAAGTTAACCTGAATTCTCAGGGTCAGATAGAAAAGCCATGCCAGGTCTCTCTGGCTAGGTCATCCTGACTAAAAGCTAATTAGTGATTTGACTATTTGCAGTGGAACAATAACTCTGCAAGCCCCAGACATCTTCTCTAAAACGGTGTGTCTGGGTTCAAGGGGACTGCCATACTCAGTTTGTTACACTACACTCAGTGTTAGGGGTCCCCTGCTGCTTCAGTCCCCCGAGCAATGGAGCATAAAAGGCAGCCAAAACTCCTGTGATAACCAAGAACAAGCGAAATACCTAGGGGAATCCCATCTAAATTGCTGATCACAGACTCAAGAGAATTTTTAGTGGGCAACACTTTTCGTACCTCTTCAGGTTTTACTTCTCTTGTTGTGAAGTCTTTAACACAGTCCAAAAAGCAGGTTTCTGTAAGTTTATTGTAGGTTCCAAGAAATTCTTTAAACTACAAACAAAACAGAAAGTTCTTTAATATTTGGGGTTTTAAAACAAAGATGTTTTGAAACTTGAATTACTGAAGTTTGTATTTAGGCAAAATATACAGTAATATTTGAAATCAGAGGTTCTTTGTAATCTTCAGGGTGTCCAACCTGTGGCCCGCGGGCCACATGCAGATGCAGCCCAGGATGGCTATGAGTTTGGCCCAACACAAAGTCGTAAATTTACTGAAAACATTATGAGATTTTTTTGTGATTATGTGTTGCAGTGTATTTAATGTGTGGCCCAAGGCAGCTCTCTTTTGCTGGTGTGGCGCAGAGATGCCACAAGTTTGGACAACTGCGACTGGGCTACAAAATACAGTCAGATATTCCTGTTGAATATTTTTTCCTGGGTTATCTGAAAAACAAAGTTATTTTGTGAGATCACTGACTGACATGGTTGCATCCTACAGTGCCTTAAATGTTTTGCAAAATGCTCTTTCCTTAATTATAAGACCTTACCTGTTTTATCTGATCAGTTTCTGGCATTTGTGTAGCCATATTCTGTTGGTACGTTTATTAGTCACCTGATTTAAAAATAAAAAAAAAGTTTGTCAATCTATAAACAAATGTTTTTAGGCTAGCTAAAGAGCTAGGTAATCAAAACATGAATAGTTTAGGAAACAGAACTGAAACAAGTCTACCTGCAATACTGTTCATATTTTATGAATTTCTAACTGTGTATGTAATTATATGTCACTCCCACCTCATTAATGACAATGAAGAACCATACTTTAGAATTAGATTTTTTAATCCTAATACCTCCGGGACCCAAAGACCCTATCTATCAAAATTTCCAATTTTAAGACAATTTGCTCTGTTACCTTGCAAAAAAGCCACTTGTTAAAAGTCCCATTCCTAATAGGGTTCTCAGGGAAACCAAGAGATCTCAGTTGTTTTCCTATAAATGCTTACCTATTCCACTGGTTGCTAACAGAACTTTGACCTATGCTACTAATGTTCCTTTCACTTACTCTATGCAAATGCAAAATCCTATTAATTGTTAACAAACACCATCCCAAGTTATCAATCAGCAACCCAAATGAAAGATATTCAGAGTTCTAATAGACTCTAATATACTCGAAAAGGACATTAGAGTGTCGTACATTCTGCAATTCAAAAAGGGCAATCACTGTAACAGAACTTCCAAACATGTGACACTTATGATCTGACTAGGGGGCAACAGAGAAGTGAAGATAAGGAAGTGAAAAAAAACCTCTCTGAGTTACTGGGATTTCACATATCTGAAGTGGAGGGCCCACACTCAGTTAATTCAGATATAAGAATGTACCACATTATTTATTTATTCTATCTGGCTAGTTCTAAAAACGAAGAACATCTTCTATAAAAGATCTGTATAAAATAAAGCTGTTTAAAAGAGAAATTAAACAGCATGTAAAAGGTAGGATAAGCAAATACTAATCTTGTACAGTGTAGACAACACAATTTCTATGCATTATATTTAGCTTTGAGTTGCACGATTACCAATGCAAAGAAGGTAAACTGGATGAGTCATTCTTATTGACTCATCAATTAGAGTGGCTCTGTAAAACATAAAATTTTTATGAAGCTGTTATAGAGATGAAACTATTTAAAAAATTCAAAGTGCTACCACTGTGAAAAAAATTGTTATTTGATTAATGATTATAATCAATGGTAATTCCATTCTAGCATTTCCAACCATGTATAACACCTTCCACTCTTTTACATTTATTCTTCCCTTCTTTCTTCCTTCTCCTGTAAGTTAGTGTCGCTGACATTTTTAAGTCATTTTTTCCATATGTAAGAGAAAACACCACTTCTTTTCGATTTTCTATGCTCATCCCATTTGAGGCATTATTGCCCATAGTTATCTTTGAAGTAACGATTAATAAAAAGTATTAGGTTGGTCAAAATGTTTTTCCAGTAAAAAAGACACGTTTCATTTTCAGCAAGAACTTGACTAATTTGGGTATTTTGAGTATGTTGGCTATCTCCCATGTGGTATAATGTTGATTGTTCTCAACTGTTTTGATTTGATCACTGTCACCTTCAACTGGTCTACCTGACGTGACCATGGAGCATTGTCCAGAGAGAAATCTCCAGCATAAAACCTCACAGGCCACTTTTGACATGTTCAATCAGTCGGAGCACCTTCTCCATACACTGCACAAATCTTCTGTTGCGTTTCAGTTATGTTTTTACCTTTCTTGAAATAATAAAGCATAATATGCTAAAAGTTTACTTCTTTTCTTCCATCTTCAACATTAAAACGTCTACACTAAAAATTCACCAATTTTGATAAGTTAAAGAATACACGCTGATAGCCCTGGCTGTATAGCTCAGTGTACTGAGTGTGGGCTGCAAACCAAAGGGTTCATGGTTCGATTCCCAGTCAGGGCACATGTCCCTGGTGGGGGCCATGTGAGAGGCAACCACACACTAATATTCTCTCCTCCTCTTTCTCTCTCCCTTCCCCCCTCTACAAATAAATAAATAATATTTGCTGTCACAATACAATCTAACAAAACTGTTTCCAATGACACTCAAGATAACTAAGAGCTACTAGATCTATCTTATGGAAAAAGCCAAACTAACTTTTTGGCCAACACAATATAATTGTCTATATTTCTGAGAATCTTTGGTTTAGTGGTTACAGGATAATCTTTTCTACTAAAACTCGTCTATCTGCTACAGACAGTGCAGTGGAGGTCTTAGGTTACCTTAACATTCAGGCAATTTTGTGTCTATAAACACTTAAAAAGTTAACAAGAATGCTTTTTATTCCTATTTTATTTAAAAGCTTTGTAGTCTATGGCCATACCACCCTGAACGTGCCCGATCTCGTCTAAAAGCTTTGTGAATAATAATAATAATATGTATATATGCACACACACATTTATATTTAACCACATAAACTACCTGGAATGTGCTAAGAATCACCTGGAGTTCACGATTTCCCACATGTTGCTGTGACTGTCATCATTTATATACTCCAGACAAGATACTATCCATTAGAGTTCGCCTTAGCTCATTTAAGTCATGAAACACTGATTCCATACCGTCCAACTACTGAACTGCATAAAAACCAAACCAAATTGTTGTGTCATTTTTTAATATCAACTTCAAACTTATTTATAGTTTGGAGTCTTAGCAGTTACTATATAAGTAACTGGTGGATACTCATTCAATAAACATTTTTTTAATGTACCAAGTATATTATGTGCTAGTCACGACACCAGTCATGATTCGGAGGCAACATGCATCTTTATTACTACTATGAAATGCCAGCGACCAGTCAGAGAACCAGAGGATTCTGTCAGTGTATCATACAACGAGGTTGTTTAGGACTTGTACTTCCAGGAAGACAGGGTAGTTGTGCTTTTCCCCACTCCTCTCACTCAGTAATCCCCCTGGACATTAAATATGAAACACAGGACCCTGGGAAGTGGGAGAGGAAAGCACACTGCCTAGGCACTTTGGGACCTGACAAGCAGCACTCTGGTGAATTCTCTCTGTTGTCTTATCCGTCAGACTTGGAGCTAAAGAAGCTGGCAATCTGCAAATGCCAATGGAAACAGTCCAAAAAAGCCCTCCCTCTCCTGGCCACCCCCATCAGCCTGCCCCCTCCAGTCAAGGGGAAGCACATAGAAACTTTTAGATAATTTGCTGCCGTACTCACAGCAAACACAGAAAAAACTGGGGTCCCCCACCATCCCCACCCACCATCAGTATAAGCTAGGTCCGGGGGCCTAAACTTCCACTCTCACCAGGTTGCAATGAGGCCTTCCAATACCCCACCGTGGTGGGAGTAGGGACTTTCATCCTTACTGGGTTTTAATGAGGACCCCCTCTACCCCCACAGTCAAGTGTCAGTTAAAATCACAAGCATAGCCTGAACCTCCATCTCAAGTGGCAGTAATGAGGTACACCTCCCCCTTCCTCCTTTCTGTAGTGGTATCAAAGGCAGCCAGGTTGAGACTCAGGACTTGCATTACTGCCCCATTTTAATTAGGCCACATAGCTGCTTTTGGTGTCAGCGGAGGCCATGTGGGGAGCAGTGAAGAGGCACTCCAGTCCCTCTCAGCCAGGGAAACACGGATGGAGGCCTAGTGCACAGCCAGAACTACTTTCACTAAGTGGTAATAAGGAGATCCCTCCCTGCAAAGTGACAGAGTGAGGAACCTGGACTTCTCGCTGTCCCTGGCAGTAACAAGGTCACACACCCATCACCTCCTCTGATGGAGTAGTGCCAAAGGGAACCAGCTAGAGGACACAGTTTAACCAGGATCTAGAGTCTCATAACACAAGATGCAAAACATCCAGGTTACAATATAAAATAATCACTCATCATACCAAGAACTTAGAAGCTCTTAAACTAAATGTAAAAAGACAATAGATGTCCAGTACTGAGGTGATAGATGTTAGAATTACCTGACAAAGACTTTCAAATGGCTGTTGTAAGAAATGAAAACTCTGATAACCAAAATAAATTCAATGGACAGAATCAACAGCAGAATGACAAAGGAAGGAGTCACTGAACCAGAATACAGAAAAAAGAATGATCCAATCTGAGTAAGAGAAAAACAAATGAAAAAATAAGCAGAGTACAGGGACCTGAAGGACTAACTGTAACAAAAGATCTAATATTCGTGTCATGAGAGTCTGGAAGGAGAGGGGAATGAGAGCACAGATGTGAAACGTATTAGAAGAAATAATGGCTGAAAACTCACCAAATTCAGCAAAAGACAAACTTACAGATTTAAGAGGCTGAATAGATTCCAAAGAACACAAACATAAAGAAGGCCATATCAAAATACATCACAGTCAAACATCTAAAAATGAAAATAAAAAATTTTGAACGCAGTGAGAGAAAAACGCCATCTCACCTATAGGGGAAAACAACTGGGATGGCAGCAGACTTCTCAACAGCCAACCAAGAAATCTGTATCTAGAAAAAATACCTTTCAGGAACGAAGGGGAAATC